AGCATGGCCCAGGCTGTGGAGAGGCTGTGGAGTCTCCTTGTGTGGAGACACCCAAAGCCCTGGCCGTGTTCCTGGGTGACTGCTCTGGTGCCCCTGCTCTGGGGGGTTGCACTGGGGGAGCTTTCCAGGTCCCTTCCAACTCCTGACATCCTGTGATTCTGTGACATTGCCACGACTGCCTTCTCCCATCCGGTTTGTGCCGCTTCTCTGCTCATTCATGGTTTGTCCTGGGAGCAGCGGGAGCCTGGACCTGAGCTCGCTGAGCACGGCCGAGTACATGCACGCCTGCAACTGGATCCGGAACCACCTGGAGGAGCACACGGACACCTGCCTGCCCAAGCAGGACGTCTACGACGCCTACAAGTGAGCTCGGGGGCCGCCTGGCACCGGGAGCCTGGGGGGAGCTCGGTCTGGAAGGCAGTGTGTGCCGGGGTTGGGTTGGGAATGGCCTGGCCCAACCTTGGGTTCCCAAAATGAGCTTGAAACGATAAAAACGGGTGCGTGCAGAGGGCGATGAGAAAGGCTCGATGGTTTTGACCCGTGGTTCTTCCCGCAGGCGATACTGTGACAACCTCTGCTGCCGCCCGCTGAGCGCCGCCAATTTTGGCAAGATCATCCGGGAGATCTTCCCAAACATCAAAGCCCGGCGGCTGGGAGGCCGAGGCCAGTCGAAATATCCTTCTGTGTGCCCCTGCTTGGGCTGCTGGCAGCAGCTGCTGCTTCTCCTTTTATTTCCCATTTGTGAGCCTGCGCGTGAGGTTGTCTCTTGTAGAGGGTCTGGTTCCTGGGTTTTTGGCTCCTTCAGCTTGGTTTTTGGGGGGCTGCTTGGATTTGCCCTGTCCTTGCTGTGCCCTCAGGGCAGCTCCAAGGGGAGCTGCTGAGGGCAGGGGACACACGGAGAAGGGGGTGACCCCGTTGTGAGCCCCGCGTCCCCTCATGCCTGTCACGAAGGCGGTGCTGTGACGGTGAAACACCTTAACCCCGCGCACGTACTGCTACAGCGGGATCCGGAGGAAGACGGTGGTCAGCCTGCCGCCCCTGCCCAGCCTGGACCTCAAAGTCACCGAGACCGTAAGTCCTTGGACATGGTAACGAAGCTCCTCGCTCGTTAGAGCTAACGAAGGCAGCAGGTGGGGGGGATGCCCTCAGTGGGAGCAGCTCTGTCCCGTGAGCCTCCCCCAGGGTGGATGAGGTCACAGAATTGGTTGGAAAAGCCCTCTGAGATCACCATG